GTGAATAAAAAGTTTCTTGCTGAACTCCACTCTGCAGTTGCTTTAATCTAAAAGATACAGGAAATAATCCCAGGCAATACTCAAAAGCAATCTAAAAGTCAAATTTTTCTACACAGCCTCATCTGCCTGTTTATTTTAAATTACAACTTCATATGTTAGATTTTCTACTTTTCTATTTCATATTTGCTTTTGAATTTATGTTTTTCCTCACCTTAATTATTTATTACTTTCCCCCTATTACATAAGAAGTATTTCTGTTTTAACTTACAGTTTCCTACCACACAGAGACTATTTCTATTTTTAATTAATATTCATTTTACACATTTATAAATATGCCTACACATTAACTTTTCCAGTTGAATTTTGCTACAGGGTGTTTTGGTTGTTAAAAATATAGGTTTTTTTTTTTATTTTTCACATGAGGACCAAAAAATTTAGTGACTTAGCACTAAATGTTATGTGTTTGAGTATGTGTGTGTGAGAGAGAGAGAGAGAGAGAGAGAGAGAGAGAGAGAGAGAGTGTGTGTGTGTGTGAGAGAGAGAGAGAGAGAGAGAGAGAAATTTTATTTTAAGATGAAGAAATCTTATATTTTTATCAAATTTCATTCAATGAAGTGACAATCTTTTATTTTTGGAAGAAAATTATATTTAATAACTGAGTTTTAATGACATGAGATTCAATGACACTGCAAATGTATTAACAGTATCTCATAAGTCTCAGGAGCAAGGAGGCACCTAGGAGATACCTGTTCACCCAGGCAGCTTGGGAAAATGGAACCATGATGTTAGTCACAGGTCTGTAGTCCATGTGCCACAGTGGCCCACTGTCACAATGTGCCCTGGTTTTGGCTTTCTTTTGGGGGGCAAAGTGATTTTTGAAGGAAGTCAGGAATTGCAACTGGTTCAAGCCATTATTCACATATATGTGGAAGGAAATGTGAGGATCATTCAAGATCATATCTCTGAGGCTGGGAATGTGGGTGTGGTGGCTCATGCCTATAATCCTGACAGTTCAGGAGGCCGAGGCAGGAGGATCACAAGTTCAAATCCAGTCTCAGTAATTTAGCAAGTCCCCAAGCAACTCATTGAGACCCTGTCTCTAAATAAAATATAAAAAAGGGCTGGGGATGTGGTTGAGTGGTTAAGGCCATTGGGTTCAATCCCACGTACCAAAAAAAAAAAAAAAAAAAAAAAAAAAATTCCTTCAGGCATGCTCAAAAAACTTGTGACATCTGGACACTGAGGTTTCAGTAATGTCCTGAAACTTTGTAAGCAATGAGGGAATGAGAGGAAAACCAAAGAGGTTTTGATTAGCACTTCATGGTAACTTAAGGTTTATGTAGTTTTATCTAATGCTTAATTACATTATTATTTAATAGAATTAGAACTACCAAGGGAATTGAGAATAAAGGTTGAAGCTAATGCCTTTTTTATTTATATGTATTTCATTTAACAATTCCAACTAGCTGATTCTGTTATTGCATTGTGTTTTCATGTGAGAGATTGTAACTGCTATGAGTGTCCTTTTAATCTCAAGAGTCTCTTTTTTCCTGAGCTTCATGCTGAGAATGAACCTTGTAGCTAAGCAATACACGCTACTTATATTAAAGAGTACTCAATAATTGGTGCTGTGAGTTGGACTCAATTTGAACTAAAAAGAAATAAGATATAATCCTATGGAGCCAACCATTAAGCATTAGTAACACAAATAAAGGAATATTAGCAAATTATTTATGAGATAATTCAGACAATATTTTTATAATGTTTATGTAAATGTAAGTATAGGCAATTTAGGAAATTACTCAGATCTTCTTTGTGTGAATGTTAGCTTTTTAGAAAGGCAAATAAACTACATCATGGCTTATTATGCCACAGGATATTCATTAGTCTGTGTTCATTTCAGTCAAGATAGATATAAATTGGAGAGGATTGTTGGTGTTTTCATATGGTAAATCTGTGTCTCTCCTGCTGATAAGTGATCTGACTTTCTCAAACATTCAATTCAGTATTTGCACTTCAAATCATATTACCTTAAGAGATCAATCACTGACGTCTGTTTTCTGTATGTATGAATCCAGTCGGATTGAATTTATTTTTTTTTACTTTAAGAAACTCTGATGGATGAGTAATGTACTTAATCTTGGTTTTGTAAGACACTAGTTGAAGTTGTATTTCCACCACTAAGACTAAAAGTTTGGTGTTACTTTTTTTGGCTTATTTTTCGAAGAATGCACTTGAGCTAAATCCATTTCTGGAATCCAATGAAAGCTCCTCACATTGGCAGGGCCGACCAGTAATTCCTAACGACTTGTTTTTGACAGAGGTGTCTCTGAAATTCTGCAGAAATGACCATTTGGAAACTGTCATTGATTGGCAGGTCATCAAACAAAAATCATTCTCATTAATTTTGGTTTTGTTAAATTAATCTCCTCCTAATAGTTGGAATATCCAAACAGGTAATAGAACTAGCATAGAAAGATCCCTCTTTCCCTTACTTCGTATCCCTGATCAATAATTAACTCCCAGCAGTTTTCTAGTCACAGTCAGTAGCTGAGTTTTTTTTTTTTTTTTTTAACTATAGAACATAAGTACTTTATTGCAATAGGGAAGCATTCACCTCTTCCCTCAGTTTCTGCAGAGAAGAAGAAATGATACATGTGGATGTCTTATATCATGTAAATAAGGGTATTCCTTTCCAAAGTGCACTACTTACTTTTGAAATTTTCACATTGTATTTTTTCCCACTTCTTTACTATATGCAGTGTTTCATGCAGGTATGGCCATTAGTAGTGGATCAGGTAGCTATGACCCCCTCCTGACTGGGAGGATTCTAAGTTCTTAGTATTCTTTCTATTGTTTCTTCCAGTGAAATCCCATGTTTTAAAGATTTTATATATCAAATTGCATATATTGGTTAATGACTGTTTTCTTTTATTATCAAAGTAGTTGAGGTTTTTAAAGTATAATACAAAATAAATGGAATACTGTTTTCTTAAGCATCAATTAATATCATAGACTCTGCAAGACTTTTTAGCAGGAAAACTCAAGAACACCCATCCTAGTATTTGATGGAAAAACCATATTATTTATCTCCTTCTGAGAACTCAATTGCTTAGCAAAATACTTGGGAAAGAAATATATTAGGAACTCATCCTATTTAGACAAAAGCAGGAAATTAAGCAATCATTTTATTTGCCTTAAAAGTTTTTTTTTTTTAAAGATACCAAGGTTCATATGCCTCAAGGAACCGTATGTAATGAAACCAGCATTTTCTCTAATTTTTGATGTAGTGTATCCTTTGAAAAGTGTATATGGTACTTTAAGTTATATTAAAAAAATAGTTGGATTAGAATTTTTAACCTGTTTTCTAGTCTGATAACCTAAACATATTTTTAGTGAGTGGCTCTAGTACAAGTTCCAGCCTTGAAAAATCTATTTTCTTTACCATCCTTCTTTCTCTTCTGGAGTAGAATTTCGTGGTAAATGAGTAATGGGTGAAAGGATATCAGTGGAGAAAGTAGAGATATATGATAGCTATAAGTAAACGTTTGGCCTCCTTCTGCAACCTCCTGGATGTATCAGTATTTTTCTTTTTTTGGACGCATTTACTAAAAGGCAGCTCACTCTCCTATGGGCCATTCTGCTCTGTATCTTAGAGGAGATCATCATTGGGTCCTAATGACTTCAATGCAAATTTAATTTCCTCTGAGATGAGAATGGCGACAAATATCTAGAAGCTTGATTCTAGAGCCTTAGTGTGATTTTTTTGAAATATTTATTTTTTAGTAGTAGTCGAACACAATATCTTTATTTTATTTTATTTTTATGTGGTGCTGAGGATCGAACCCAGGGCCTCACACGTGCTAGGCGAGCGCTCTACCGCTGAGCCACAACCCCAGCCCCCTGAGTGTGATTTTTGTGTATTTAGATCTATAGAAAGTTAGATAATTATATGCAGTATATAACCAGCACAAATTTTGGTTGCCACATTGGAGTTAGACAAAAATTATATCTGACATTTAAGTGTTCGTTCTTATTCACTGTAAAATATGTTTGCTTATATTTATCTGATTTCTAATTATTAAGGTTATTGCCAAGATTTCCATTTGACTTCTTCCTCAGGGACTTTGATGGATTTGTTGATAAATAAACTTCATGAAATATAATTCCTTATATAAGCTATATATTAATTATGTATTAATTATGTATGCTATATGTTAATATACAATAATACCAATTTTTAAAATTATTTTTCCTTTTTCCTCAAACTTTATCTAGGCATATCTGCCAAGTAAAAATTCTGTATTTTAGACATACAAAACAATGATTTTGCTATATATACACATTATAAATTGATTATTACAATTATTCTAATCAACACATCTGTCTCCTCACATTGTCACAACTTGTATATGGTGGGTGAGGACACTTAAAATGTATATGTTATTAAATTTCACACATAATAAAGTGCTATTAACTGTAGCCAGCATGCTACATAAAATTGGTTTAAACTCTGTTTTTACTTTTATCAAAGGATTTTATTTGAGACTGTTAAAGCAGTCACATTGGTATTCTGGTATTCACTTTAAACTGTGAAAAATTTTAACTATTACCCATCCCTAAAAAGTTCACTTCAGCTCTAGTTTGAGAGACATGGTGTCATCATCTTGCCTTCCTGTGTCAAATATTTCAACACATATAAATCTATCAAGAAGAGATCTGTAATATCCTGAGTGATAATGAGTTGGAGGCCTGCTAGCTAAATGAGAGGTCCAAACCCTAATCAGCCTTTACAACTTCATTGATAACCATACTTCTGGGTAACTAGACACAAGGTTTTTAATATTTTTAGTTTTTTTAATAATCAATTACTTTGTAGGATGAAGCTTTATTTTGAATCTTCATCAAAAGTGTCTAATTCTACATCCAATATTAAAATGCTCCTTTTTTAAGTGGGGAAATTTTAAAGGTTGATTTTCTTTCCATTTTTATTCTTATAGATGTTCGAAGAAGAACAATTTATGAATACCACCGAGTAGAGCTACAAATGTCAAAAATCACCAATATTTCTGCTGTGGAGATGACCCCATTACCGAGTAAGTTAATGTGTGAACACAGTTAGTTGGGAAAATGATGTTGCAAGCCTGATGATCCAGTCTATTCAGTAATTATAGTTATTATATTAATTATATAATTGTCTTTGGCATGCCTGCTTATTTTGATCCTGAGTATGTATAGGGATAGATGATTATTTTTATTTGGTTCAAGCAGACTCCCCACCCCTACCCTGCTCCCCTTGCCTCCCGCAGTTAGTCCTGATGAGTCTCTTCTATTTCCTAGCATGTCTTCAGTTTAATGGCTGTGGCCCCTGTGTATCCTCTCAGATCGGCTTCAACTGCAGTTGGTGTAGTAAACTTCAAAGGTAAAAAAATAATACAATGAATCCTAAAAATTTACAGACTGTTGCCTCTTCTCTCCCATTGAATTTTAAAGGTATGTCAAGTGTGTAAATTATACATACACTAACAAGTGTATATATGTGAAAATATATATATGCCATGACCAAAATGCTAGAAGAAGAAGAAGCGCTCAGAAGAGAGGATTTTAGAATATCCCAATGTCTGAAGCTCAAAATGACTGATAACCTTCATAGTTATAGTTATTGTAGTTGTAATATTTTTCTGGCATACATTTATAATTTTCTATAGATTTAACATACATGATGACGTAGTTGCTGAATCTATAAATGATGATTTGTATCCATATACTAAAGAAAGCATGATCTGAGATACTTTTCCCAGAGCAAAGATGAATTACTATAATCACCACTTGCAGGTGTTTAGTGAATTCCTATTCAATATCTCAAATTTTATTACTGAAGACTAGAGATGTAATTTGAGGCTGAAACTATCTGACCTTTACATAAATATAACATGTGGCTTTGACTTCACATTGTGGCTGATTTTGAAACTTAAGCTGTATAACTTGCTGATTGTCAAAAAGGTTTACTGATTTTTGTGGATGGTAAAAAAGGACTGTCTGGTCCCTAGAGTTTTTCTGACATTGGATGATGTGGGAGATATATGATGTAGAAGAGCAGATTGCTGTTCCCTGGTGTGATAAATGGACCCAGTTCCACTAAACACTTGCAGACATTAATGTAAACTGAGCTGATGTAGAGGAAAAAGCAACTACCCAAATACCTGCTTAGTTTCTGAAAAGGGGATTATAACCTTGGTGGATCTGGGGAAGATTCTTAAGTAGATGTAAAGATATTTGCCTTCTGTTGGAAAGACCAGATGAAGGCTTATAAATGTATTCTGTTATTTGCTTAACCATTTTGTGCATCAATTATATCCCAGTTGCTTGGAACACAGCAGTAAATAATAGCAACATGGTTTCTGCCCCCCCCCCCCATGGGGTTCCAATCTGTCTGGAATAAGTTCCCTTCTGACCTTCAGAGTCTATGAAAAATCAGCCACTTATGGTTTTAGGCAGTGGATGCTGCTGCCATAGAGCATCAGCAGTCTGTGTTTTATTATTCACTAGCTGCAACATTTGTCCCATGCTAAAGGTATGATGAGAAGGGCTTCTAAAGTCATTGAAGGGTGGAAAAGAGAGTGTCAATTCTTTGATAACAAGTACTCTTTAGGAAACATTTTTAACTTGCTAACTTTGGGGCAATTGCTGCAATATTGTGACTAGAACAAAATTACTTATGATAACTTCAGTTTTGTTTTCAATTTAACATGTTGTTCTAGGATTTCCCTTGGGAAATGAATTTCAAATAATGGAAAAACAAGCAGGCAGTTAGCATTTTTCAAAACAGATTGTAACTTAGTTATATATCCAGAGTGGGAGGAACTGCTATAAAATCAAAGGTTGATGGGCATTTATATTTACATTTTGTGAAGATTTCATAAAGATTACATGCACATTAAAAGTTAATCAAAAGCTGGGTAGCTACAACTAAAGGGAATCTAAAGAGCTAGGATTTTAACATGTATACTTCAGTTATACTGAACTCTGAAATGAAAAAAAATGCCCAAAATGATTAAATGGAAGAACCTGATTGGCCTTATTATACCTATTTCAAGATCAAGTTTAGTGGTCATCATCCTGGGAAGACCTCTATCCTTAGCATTTAGCACAGGACCTGCAGATGGTTATTCATTTACCTCCTTTGCCAAGTCCAGGTCTGTTAAAGGAAAAGACCATAGAATGTGCCTGGTACTACAGAAAGATGAAGGAACAAATCATTATTAGGTTCCAAATAAATATACCATGATTAGGTTTTTCCGAGGCCAAAGGGTTTCCCAGGATGAGGGACTTCTGATGCTAAAGCCGGAAAACCCCAAGGAAAACCCACACCCATTGACCATCCTGGCCAGAAGATGATTATCCTTGACTGAAATAATGTTATAATAAATGTAGGATTTGGAGACTTATCTAGAAACATACATACCACTAACATTAAAAAAAAAACTCTGTATTGTTCAATGGAAATACACGTGTAATTTTTCAAACAAGCAACTTTGGCAATCAAAATATATCCACAGATTGGAATCTGCTTCCACTATTAACGTTTTCATTTTATTAAGATATTTCTCAACCAGATATTATGCCAAGGAATTTTCAAATATTACCCTTAAAGCCTTTTTGTAGCAGAGGAAACTGGGGTTGATTGGTGATGTTGTCTGTGCAAGGTATCAGACCTCTTCAGTGAAACTTTGGAATTTAACTTTGATCTGTGTGACTCTCAACTTTTGATCTCCTGAGCTCACCTGATTTGCCTCACACCTGCCAGGCCGATGGTGCATTAGGCAAGCTAATCTTCACTGCTTTCTGGAACATGGTAGACATGCTACTGGAAAAACAAATCTTTTTGTAGTTGACACTGAAAGAAAGTTACATGGTTTTGAAACTGGCATTAGAAGAATGTAGAAGAGAATCCCAGTATGCCTAAGATGCCTGTGTAATATTGAAAGCATAATTCTAATTCCTTTACAATTAATGGAGGAAAGAAAGGTAGCAAGTCATAGAAATACAGGAGGAATTCATCACAAAAGATTACTTTAAAAAGTACAAGTTTTCTGTATGTTACTGTTTGGTATTTTGTTGAATACCAAATACCAATGATTTCTTGGATTTATTTTTAATTCTTCAACAACCCAGTTATACACATAACAAAATCTGTTTAATTAATTGGCTTAACTATGGCTCATTGCACTTTTGTTCAACTTAATTTCCCCACTGCATTTTATTAATTTCTTCTTAGACCTGTGAGCTTCAAAACTTTGCTTTGCAGCCCAGCATTATTTCCCTAGACCTTTTAGAGCTTTTATAGAAAAAAAATTGAAACAAGAGAAGTCTTATTCTGAGCAGCACAAAAATTGCCCCTTTGTTGTTTTTTTTTAATTTTTTTATTTTTCTCCCACCGTTCTTATTTTCTTCTGTGCTCATTTGTCCCTGAATGATAATTCAGTTGCTGGTAATTACTGAACTCTCAAGTTGGGCTTCCTCTAAAAAGATAAGATGATTTTAATTGGTTGGTTTGTTTCCTTTAATTCCCATTTTTTTAAGGGAGCAAAAATTAAAGCAAAATGTTTGTAATGGCTTTTCTAAGGTCCAAGAGGGTTGGAGTTATAGGAACATATAAGGGGAACCATGCCTGAAAAGTACTTATTTTAAAAACTTGGGAAGGGTTTGCTTATTTCCACACAATAAATTGAGAGGACTTGAGTCAATCACTTTCAATTCTTCCTTATGTATTCACTTAATCAACAACAAATTTTAAATGTCTCTGTTCAAGTTACTATTTAAGATTGTGCATTCAGTGGTGAAGAGAGACCAAAATCACTACCTGATAAAACTTATCTTTTTAGTGAGAGAGGATAGATTTTAAGCAAACAGATATGTAACTAGTAGAAGTAGTAGCAATGAGAGCAGGGATAAAGGAAATAAATAGGACAATGTTGTCAGCAATATAGCAAAGTTGATAAGAACAACAAGAGTTTTACTTGTTGGTGTCATTTTTAATTGACCTTGCCCTGTTAGAGTTATTGATCGGATCAACCATCATTATCTGAATTTTTCAATTGAAAATACATATGACTCTTAAAATACTCATGTATCAAGTACTTTCCACATACTGGGCACAGATCAAAACACTGAGGTAGTTAGAATAATAACAAAGTAGTAGGCAAAGCCAGGGTTCTCATGGAGCTTGGAGTTTAGCTTAGTAAGCAGAAAATAAATGAATTGATAATTAAGCTCGAATTCCAGATGGTAGTCAGTAATGTGCTGAAGTTGAGGGAGCTGGTATTTGCTGTGGAGCGGTTGGCCCTAAAGACTTCTGGGAAGAGGTAATGATGAAACTGAGATTTGAAAGGTAGGAAGACAGCCTCTTGCATTTCAAATGGAAAAGCAAGTACAGCTGCCCTTGGGTGGGCACAAGCTTGATCTGAGGAGGGAGAAGCCCCATGAGTTGAGAGTAATGTGAGCTGGCATGAGGACAGGGTGGTATCGCATGAAGTCAGAAAGATGGACAAGCTCCCAGGACATGCATGGCTTTCTAAGCCAGGAGTAGTTTCATTCCCAGGTTAATGGGAAGCCTTTAGATTTCAGATCTTAAGCAGGAGAAGTGATGAGACTTTTTTACATTTTAAAACTATAACTGTGGCTGCTCCAAGGAGAGTAGATTTGTTTGTTTGCAGGAGGCAGGTCAGAATGAAAAGGAAGAACATGTGTAATAGTCTACAGGAGGGATGTGTTTGAACATAGATGATAATTATGGGACTCATGAGAAAAGGATGAATGCATGTTGTATTTTGGGAGGAAACAAGTTGCTTGCTAATGGGTTAGAAGCAAAGGAAGAGGGAAATGTAAGAATCAAGAATACTTCTTAGATTTATTTCAGCAACATGATAGGTAATGGTACTCTTTTTGAGATAAATAAGATGGCATAGGAAACAAAGACTAGAGGGTGGAGAAATAAATAGTTTGTTTGGGGACAAGTTAAGTCTGAGATGCCCATCAGACCTCAAGTGGAAATGTTGAATAGGTAGGGATACATAAACCAAAAATTCCAGGAAGGAGTTATAGGCAAAGCTTCAGATTGGAGAGTCATTATCATATAGATAGAGTTTAATTCATGGAACTGAATGAGATCAGGTATGGAGAGAGTGTAAATTGAAAATAGCCTAAGAGGTTCCAGGCAGTAGCTGTGTGGCATAGCATAATGAGGTGGGATGCTCATTTTTCCTTACATAAAATTATCTTAAAAGTATATTCACATGCATGCATGTTTTTGGAGACAAAAAATACCTATAAGAAGATATACAAGAGGCTAGCAACAATATTTGTCTCTGGAGAAATGGAAGTGAACAGCATCAGACATGAGAGTGTGCATAGCTTTTCGTT